AACTAAGCCAAATTCAAAATCATTTCAAATTCAAATCAAATCAAGTTCAAATTAATCTAATTTAAATCCAAATCATCTCAAGTGGTAATCACCTACTCACACCATTTGACCCCTCCTGCTCTATCAATAACAATCACCTAAATGATTGCATATGATATGAGTAAATCAAATCCAAAACTAAAATCAAATCCAAAATTCCAAACCAAAAGTCAAGGCCAAAATCCCTTGCCCCATAACCTATTTTGAGCAATTTTTCAATCAGTTTAAAATCCTACCAAATGACATTGGAATTATAATTTTTCAATTGCATATTAATTAGACATGTCCCTAGAGTCATCTCTACAAATTTGAAAGCAATCCAAGCTCTTTAAGCCCTAAAACTTCATTGGATTCCAAAGGCTGTAAAATCTTAAAGTATTTATAGCCCATGCCACTGAATCATGCATGTTGTGGAATTTGACTTTAGGACCCTCCCCAAAATTCTTAGTCTTGTTCAATATATTATTATCATCCTCATAATATATTGAACAAGAACCAAGCCCTTGATGGGCCATGGTTGATCATAAGGCCACTTGAATTTCAACCCAAAAAACCCTTAAAACCAAATTTTTCCTTAAACCTCAATATGGTTCATTCAAACCAAGGATTGAAACCTTCTCCAATGCATTCCTAGCATCATTTGAGATTTAGGACACGAACACGAGTTGGACACGGTATTATAATTTTTATATATTAAAAAGTGTATAAAAATTGAATAAGTATAATATTAAAAATATTTTAGAAATGATGTAAGCCTCCAATATCGAGGCAGACCCTGATCTTAAGTCTCTAATATCGGGAATCTAATCTCAAATTTCTTATAAAATATCAACTTCGAACATAGGATAGATTGAGGCATTTTTAAATTGTTTCAGAATCTCAAAATGCCTCATACCTCTCACTCTTTAGCTTCCAAAATAAAATGCTCAAATTTGGTCTAATCCCATTTAAAAAATCCAACATTCCTCCTTTCATATCACTCTTTGAAAAATCTAAATAAAATTTTTATTATTATTCTAATCGAGAGTATTCGTTGGAAGTCTAACTTTTTTACGTTGTAATTAACTACAAAAGCCTGCCTTTGTAGGAGATTGAAGACCCTAGATAAAATAGACCCCGTTCTATTCTAGCTTTTAAATAGGATGGGGGAAAATTATTCTTTTGGAAAACGTTAAAATCAAATATGATCATTATCGACATATTCTAGTACTCAATAACAAATGGTATTTTCATTCCTAGGAGAAATATATCATCTCTTATTGAGACATTTGGATATGAAATTAATGATAATATATCTAAGTTATTGTAATTAGATATTCAATTGAAACATCATTTTGGCCCATTGGGGCCATATGTAGTTCACTATGATGATCTGACGATAATAATTGATGATGAAATATCCTAATTATTATAGCCAAATATATGATTGCATATCATTTTGATTCTTCGGTCATACATAATTTTTTCTTAAATTTTACTACAATAGTCAGGGCATAATTTATAATTTCGTAATATGACCCCATTGAGAATGGTACCATTTTATATCCCTTTAGATAGTATGCCATTCATAATGCTGCGCTTGATTATGAAATTAAAATTTAAAATTTTAGATTACATTTTTCCAAAAACACAATTATAATTGATTGCACATTTCCAAAAAGTTGCAAACAAATTGGTGGGTTTTTTAGCATGAAGCTGGCCCGAATTTAGTTTGAGCTGGGTCTTAAATTCCTTGGAAGACTTATTATACTTAGTTTAAGTTCTTAACTTGTATTTTTGATGTTTTGAATTTCCTTGAATTGAGATTCAAAACTTATTGCTTTATTTGTGAGAGGCCAAGAAGGTGTGGCTTTACAATCCTAGCTTTCAACATGCTCATATGCGGGACTTATGAGTCAGATTTTGGAAAAAATGGCTTTATGACCTGACCTTATAAAGAAGGCAACCAAAATAGTGGGTCTCACTTCCTCGCTATATTGGCAAGACAACACAAATGGTAATTATGTTTTACTTTGGTTTTCGTTGTAAATATATATTTTAACGTGTATTGAGGTGATGGTCCACAATAGCAATGCAGTGATTGGTTGGTGAAGTAATAATTGGATTGAAGAAAATACAATAGAAATGTTGATATAAGGAATTTTGATTTTTAAGAAAATTTGAAATTCAGCTGTGTGAAAATTTAGAAAGATGAAAATGAAGGGAAATTGTTCTTCAAATTTGGTGAGCAACTTAAGTTATCTTTTGACCAATCCCGATTTCCCTTTGGGAATATGATAAAATTCGGGCAAGAATTTGAAAACGTGGGGATAAATTTTTAAGTCCTTGTGCCTTCTAAAGCCAAGGCCTTGGAGAAATAACCTTTCATTAGAAAGTAAGGTTCTTGAAATTGACATGCATGCTAGGGAGAGTAGGAAAATGGTGATTGAGGTCCATCAAAGGCCTTAGCCTCTCGTTCTTCTTTGTTTAACTGGCTGACCTTCCCTAAGGTTCAGAAAGTTTATAAGAAACAAAGAGGCTTAACGCCAACTGCATTTAAGGACGTAGTAGTGCCAATACCAATTCAGTCATTTCAGCATTTGTTAGTTCTTCCGGTTCAAACAGTATCAAGAAAACTTTTTCAATTTAGTTAGTATGAGGTGAGTAGCAGTTCTGACCATGTTCTCACGAAGCCTTAAACAAGAAATAAGAATAGAAGACTTAGGAAAAGGTTGCAAAGAGAGGAACATATATAAAAGAGTTATCAAGATAATGGAGACCTCTCCTCTCACTGGGGGAAGTATATTCTACCCCTTTCCCACATTAGTCAAAGAGGAGGATATTGTAAAAATTGTTGCATCACCTCTGAGATCTCCAATTCGATCTCATAAAAGCACGCCCAAAGAAAGGATAAAGAGGTGAGAGAATGATATCAGAAATATCTCTCAAAGGATAGTTAAAAAGATTTAAGGGTTGTTTAGTGTGAAGTAAAATGGTTGTAAAGTATTTCAAATGCAGGGGTTTTGAAAATATTTATGTTAAGTTTAAAGTAAAAGAAATGCAGAGTAATATTTTAAATTATTTGGAAATTTTGGTATATTTGAAAATGGTTAGATTTGATTTATTTTTAAATACACTATAAATTCTCTTCTATTGCCGCAAAATTGCTAGTGATTTCTGCCTTCCAAATTGCATGTAATTTATTTAGTCTTTCTTTTAAGTTTTTTATATTATTTAAATTTTTTGATTATTTAAGAAAATGACCCGCCAATTAGAATTATATTATATTATCATTTATAGATAACATATAGTGTAGCAATTTAAATTTTTTAATAAGCATATTTCTGAACAATACGAGTATAAGATTTATACGTATCTTTGATGAATTCCAATTTTGATTATAAATTCTTTGCATCTATTTCTAATATGAGTTGCGCTATCACCTATTTTTAATAGTTTTAAGGTACCTTTGACCCTACTTTTCCTTTTTAACAATGATCAAATAAATTATAATAGTACTTTGTTTATATGCCATTTCAAGAAAAAATGCAACTTAATGGCTTTGTTGTTCTTTTTACACTTTTTTATTAATTACTTTTGTATAAAATTCATCTCCATAGTTTATTTTTTGGCATAAAATCAAATTTATCTACTATTTTTTTATCTTTTGTTTCATTCCCTTTTTTTCATGAATTAATTGTCCGAAACTTAAATTTGATTTTGTTATTAAGTATCTCAATTCTTTTTTTTTTTTAGTTGTCCTTTTTGTCAATCAAATTCATTTAATTTTCTTTCATCCTAAAATAACCTAATAAGAATCAAATAGACTGGAGACTTGTAGTGGGAGTATACTTTTTTCTACCTAGTCATGCAAATTGCACTGTGTCAATTCATTTTAAGTTGAGTGCTAAAACACAAATTTGATATAGATGCGTTTCAATCCTAAGTTCTTGATAACAATTTCTAAAGCGTTTACCAAGTAAGCTAGCTACCATCTTGGTATTGATGTGGATATATCCTTCATTAGTCCTCTAAACTTTGGCTCTGTGAAGGGTATGGTAGTTTTATTTTTCTTATTTAGCGCCCTTTGATTTTCAAGAACTGTTCTCAAGTTTCCATTAATCTCGGTCTTAATCTCCAGTCCTAGAATATTTTAATGAGGGTTGTTTTTCTTTCTTCTCATCTACCTTTCAAGCAATGGGTGATGCTACTGTGCTAAATTGCATTGTGTCGTATTGCTATTATGCTAAATTGCTTAGTGTGCTATGCTACTTGTCGGCTTACACTTTCTTTTTCTTTGTTCAGTTAAATTTAAGTTCAATGTATTCAAATTCAGAACAGTGAATCTATGAAATAACTTCTGGATTTCTGTTGTTAAACATGGATGGTGCTCATCTGTCTTTCAACCTTTGGACCGACCAATCTGTCTATTTGATTAAATTTCACGTCTTACCATCTTTGATTGAGTTATTGCGTGCTAGTCAGTAAGTGTAGGCTTGCTTATCCCTGTGTATGACTTCTGACAGGTTTTATGTATGAGTTCTTGAGATCAAGTTGAGAGGAAAAGGCAATTAAATACAATTTGATTCAATTTTAGATAAAAGTGTTAAATGCGTAGTACTGAGCCTATGCAAGACCAGTTATTTTTTTCAGGCAAGCATGGGCTGAAACTATAAATGAAGGATACATAGATGGTTGGATATGTTTTTCTTCAGGAAGCTTTGCTCCATTATTACAAGATGATCAAACATTGGGAGAAAGGATGCTGATAGTCATGTTGCAATTTTCTGCTTAGCTACATGTTTTGTTGATTTTAAAGATTTTGTTGTCATGTTTTGAATGTATCCTTTTTCTAATGCTGCTTGCCAGAGAAAATATTTTGAACTCATTTATTTATGCCCTTTTTTGAGAATTATGACTAAAATATGCTTGCATGTTAGGTACTTATGTAATATGAAGTTGCTTTTTGCATTTTCTTTTAGATGGGAGGCATATCAAGTGGAGGAGGAGGAAGTTCTAGGTCGAGGAAAACGATTGAAAAAAGCAATATCTTACAAGGAAACATTTGGTTCAATGCCAAATGAAGCTTTAAGTGAGGTACAACATTTTAAATAGAATTGACTTCATGGAAATCCTGTTTACTCGTTATATTAGGTTAATTTTTACTTTTGTTTAATTCTTTTGTGTTAAAGGAAGGTTTGTTGAGGTTGTTTGTGCTCGTGTCCATGCAGACTTTATGGGCTTACAAATCTATCACTCCCTGAGCCGTATAGCACTAAGATTCTCCAATTCTAAGTCAAATTTAACTCACACTCCCTCACAAAAACTCAAGAGAGGGAATATAACTTTTTGAAGTCTTATTCTCTCAAGCTTGTGATTCTTTTGGTGTTCATACAAATGAGTGGGGTCTTCACCCTTTACATAGGCTCTAAGACTACTACGCCTGCCAAGTATCATAATAATTACGTGAGATATCTACAAGTAGGAGCTTTTATAGGAGTTAGAGCTATCTACAAGACTCTATAAGCTTCTATATTAAATAGAATTATCTGCAAAACTCTAAAATCATTTAGGAGGTTAAAAAACATTCTCTAAAGTTCTAGAGACTAAGTAAACTCATTTTTGCTAGAATGCTCATGGACATGCCACAAGTTTCTCATAAGTGACATTTTCCTTTAACTATCCTAGGAATGCCCTCTTTGCATCCTCGGTGTTAAATGCATTGATTTATTTCCGAAATTGCTAAAAATCATTTATATGCTCTCAACTCACCTTACATTTGATTAAGCTAAAAATCATTTATATGCTCTCAACTCATTTAAATGCATTGATTTATTACATTTGATTAAGCTTTCACTTTTGGGATCATCTTGGTCCAGATCATCCGGTCCTAATGGAGGCCTTTAGCATACTTACATGAAAGACTGGATGAAGTTTGAGCTTCTAGAGGAACTTGAATTTGTGATTTTGCATGTATGCTTAAGAACTCATAAGATCCCTTTGTTAACCCTTTGGGTACATCCTTGTGGTGAAGATGCATTTGCAATTTCTCTAAAACATGGTCTTCGACTTGGTACTTGATATGGATTTGCTTATGATTAGCCTACTTCTTTATTTGCTTTGCATCCTTATGTGTCACAACCCAACCCGACAAGACCCACTTATGGGACAAGTCCTATCATGTTGGCCTACGACAGACGAATCCCAAAATCTAGTTGTGAAAAATTTTTAGGTTTCATCTTTGAATTTAAATTTTAAAGGAACAACGTGCTACAGAGCTACTAAAAACATCTAAAGTGTTAAAATAAACTCATACACAAAATCTCTTTCATTTCATCATTTATATATATAATAGTAACACTATAGTACATGGCTACAGAATAGAGATCAGAGAAAAATATAATGAAAGCTAGTCATGACTGTACAAAATAAAAAAAGAATACATATACAAACTCATATTAGATCCTGAATAGCTACTCAACCAGATTATTTCTTTTCCCATACCCTAAAAACAGAATACAAAATCGGAGTGAATTAAAAGTACTCAGCTGACCACAAATATCGATCCAATTTTTCAAACATTTCTTTTATTAAGCATTTTCCAAAATAATTAAATGTAATGTAACGATTCAATATGTCCAGCAGAGTAATACAAGCATTGCATTTATCCAAATATTTAAATAATAATACTGAGTAGTTAAATAAACTGAATTTCATATGCACTCTATTTCATATAATAAAATATAACAAATTTTCCTCTCTTTCAGATAGAATCCAAGATTCTGACCCCTTATGACTCCCAACATATAGAATTTCATATATTTTCATATTTAGATTTTCGGTTTCAGATAGAATCTCAAAAGATTTTGGCCATATCTCTCAATAGATATTTTTCATATCAAAACTCATTTATTTAATCAATAAAATACATATTTCCTTTCAGTGCAACCATTAAAGTATAAAGAAACTCAATGCAAAATTTTTTAACTTGTCGTTTTTTAACTTGCTATAACGGCAGGCAACAAAACATACTAATGAGCAGAAATTTATATTTTCAAAATATAATCAAATTATCAAAGATTGTGTATAATAACATTTTAAGACTTTGATCCTACTACAAAACTATTTTTCAGAGTCCATGTTATTTTTTATTCAATTAAAAAAGTGCATATTTCAAAATACCCGGTATGAAATTTCTAGAAAATATTCAAAATGTTCAGAATCACAATCTCTATAACATATAAAAAGTTACGTGATGAAAGTTTTATCAGTACAAAGATATCCTTATTTTTTGGTAGCGGAAACATAACTTTAATCAAAAAATTCAAAAAAAAAAATGTGGGCTCCGAAAATTCGGCCCCGGCCTCCGCCCGCTGTTTTGCTTTTTCTTCTTCGGGGGAGCTTTAATGAATTTAAGTTCCGGGGTAAATTTTGTAAGGCAGATGGGTTTGTAGATAAAACACTATCCCGAGATTTCGCCCTCATTTTGCGAGGATGATGCGGTCCACTAAGCTGAGCGGGGTAAATTTCGTTTTGGGGTTACCACGGACCAAGAGAGGCTCGGACTCCATAATGGTGGTCGTCGATCGCTTCTCCAAAATGGCACACTTCGTTGCTTGTAAAAAGATCTTTGATGCCTTACACATTGCTAAATTATTCTTCAAGGAGATCGTCCGTCTACATGGCATCCCTCGCAGTTTAACTTCAGATAGGGATGTTAAGTTTATAAGTCATTTTTGGCGAGAGCTCTGAAAGCGATTCCACACCGACCTTAAACTAAGTTCGGCGTATCACCCTCAGACGGATGGCCAGACCGAAGTTACTAACCGCACTCTCGCCAATATGCTCCGGTGTCTGGTTCAAGATCATCCCAAACAGTGGGAGGAAGTTCTGGGACAAGCTGAGTTTGCTTTTAATTCCATGCCAAATCGTGCTACAGGTATGTGCCCTTTTAGCATTGTGTACACAAAGATGCCTAACCACATTGTAGATGTGGCTGTCCTCCCCAAATGCCGAAACACGGCTACTGTTCAGACCGCCGAACAATTTGTGGATGTTTTGAAGAATGTCCGAGAACGCTTGCAAGACACAAACTTGAAGTATAAAGTGGCACAAGATAAACACAGGAGAGTTGTTTAGTTCCAACCGGGAGATCTAATCATGCTTCGGTACCGGAAAGATCGTTTCCCTACAGGGTCTTGCCCGAAGCTCCATCCCAAGAAATTTGGACCATTCCCCGTTCTGCGCAAGATCAACGATAATGCTTATGTTATTGATCTCCCAAAAGATTTCTCCATATCTTCGACCTTTAATGTTGCTGATATTTATCCCTACCACCCTCCTGATGAAGCGGCTACTGCAATTGACTCATCGGAGCTGAGTCCTTTGGGAGCGGAAGGGAACTGATGCGGTCCACTAAGCTGAGCTGGCACCCCATTATACTTTTTGCTCATGTGCCCTCTATCCCTCAGCTAACCGTTTCTTACTTTTTCTGTTAAGCATAGTACACTAGTACCTTTTTATTTGTTTTAAATTCTTTTAGCAAATTACATCCTTAGCTAAGTAAGGATATAACGTTGTTTTAGAAGAAGAGGAAGATAGAAGGAATATAGTTTTAGCAATTCTTTTGCTTGTGTTACTGTTTCATTGAGCAAGTTTCTCTTAAGTGCTTGAAATCCTGCTTCAGAGGACTTTATGATCTGAGTTCTGGTTTCCTATAGGCGCAAGCCCCTATAGTTAATTACCCCCTCTCGATCACGAGAGAGAACTTTCGATTAAGGCTAGTCGTCGATCAGATACGTAGGAGATACATGTTATCTGGCAGATAGTAGCAACATGGGCATGGATATTAGAAGTTTGAAGGATTGAAAGATTTGATATTTAAAATTTAAAATTTCACCACCTTGCACTTAAGGCAAATGGTGGGGAATGGATGATGGACCCTATCAAGATCATATGGTTCCGTCATCCCGGGCCATCATGGTCCTTGGTCTACTTAGTCAGAGGAGGTAATCGACCCAACCTGACACAAGGATCCTTGTCGGCAGCCATGGGTTGCTTCGTCCAAGGAGACCTTGTAGACCTGGTAGAATATTTGTCTAAGGGGACAAATTTGAATCCACCTTAGCTAATAGAGGGCTTTGTGCCCTATCGATCATATCTTATTGATTCATATCTCAAAGATTTGATGTCACTGAGGAGTGTATTGGCTCTGGCCATAACCGGTATTCCGTGGTGCCATTTGGCTTCAATCACTCGGTTCAGAGGGCCCCGGGTCATAACCGTTTATCCTGCGGTGCCATTTGGCGGCAAAACCACCGGTCAAAGGACACGTACCACATCCTTACTGGCAGGAGATTGTTTGAGAATGGAGCTCTATGTGAGCTGAAGTAAACTTTAATTTGTCAACCACGACAAACTATTACGGAGGGTGGATGGATTTTACTTTAAATAGTTGGATGGTTTGATTTTCAATTTTAGACATCTAGATTTTGGGGATTTTGAGATGACATTTAAGTGGCATTTTGAAAGTTTGAAATTGACCCCTCCAGTTGATATCTGCATTCAACACGACCATCATCGGGGTGTTTGGGGTCATTTCTATTTTTTGTATTAAACCTTGTCGACCCTATCAACTTATTGATAGGGGACCGGGTTTCGTAGGCTTTATGCCTTTATTAGTGAATTCTCATTGTTATTGGCCTTGAAGACCTAATATGAATGTATTAAAACAAATATACCAGTCGCCACCACTGTATATTTGTTTGATGGTTTGAACCCTGTCGACTCCTATCGATATGCATAGAAGGATCTGGTTCGAACTTGAATTCACTTATTGACCCATGCAGCATCTCTAGACGTCACGTGTGTACTTATAACATGCTCGCCGGGGCCCGTGGAGAAATACATTGATTTAATGTTCGCCATTAAAAGAGAAGCATAATATTAAGTTAAGTGTTGTTGAGATGAGGATGCCCAGGTGGATGTGTGGATTTACTCTTAGAGACATGATATGAACCAAGCATACCCGTGAAAAGGTTGGAGTAGCTCCAATGACAGATAAGCTTAGAGAGAGTCACCTTAGATGGTTTGATCATGTAAAATGACGGCCTTCCGATGACCCTTTTAGGAGAGTTGGTGTATTAGATTTGGCCTAAGCTAAGAAAGGTAGATGTAGACCTAAAAAGACTTGGTTAAAAGATATTAGAAATGACCTTTCTTTATTAGATTTAAATGAGAGTTTAACTCTTAATAGGACACAATGGAGAAAATAGATTCATATAGCTGACCCCACGTAGTGGGATAAAGGCTTTGATGTTGTTGTTTTTGGTTGCTTTGAAACATGGCCAAACCATAATGAAGAGTTATAACTTTGTCGAGCCCTATTTGTTTAGAATTGTGCCACCTTCCAAGCTTGGCGAACTTTTCTCAGTCTTTCAAACATATGGGTATTCAGAGAAACACCAAAAATCTAGTTTTGAAAAATGATTGATGAGCCTTGATTTTCCCTTGGCTGAATCTTGCCTCGGTGGCTTGGTACGGTTGAATACAAAACTAGCTCAAATGATAAAGAATATTTAAGCTCTCGTGATAATTCCTTGAATTTATAAAAAAGCTCTCATGATAATTTCAATTTTCAATAATTTATAAAAACATCTTATGATAATTTCAATACTTGGTAAAAACTCATGACAGTTTTAATAATTTTCAAGCTTTTGTTTTATATCAGTGGGATAGTTTTGTGTACCGAGTTGGCCAAAACAATTTTTTGAGGCAATTTCAATACATTAAAAAATTATGAATTGATAAATTTTGACATTTTAGGGACCTTCAATTAAAAATTTCATTGAAAAATAATAACTCTAGACCATTAAAACATTCCTTGGAGTTTGCTGAAATTTCTGAATTTCAGCAGGAATCTTTCAAAAAACTCTGTAAAAATATGATTACACTTCCAAACGACTTAAAGCTTAACACAGTTAAATAATATGAATTTTCAATTGATTTTTAAACAAAAAGATGCATTTATATTTTAAAAAGTATGCTTCAGGCCTTGCACGCATAAACTTTAATTCTAATGAAAAATAGGAATGCAAGTTAAAAAATCAAGAATTTTGAAACAGATTAGTAATATGTCATACTAAACTTTTTCTAAAAAATTTTCTTCAAAATTATTTGTTTAACTTTACTAAGTAAACAAGTTTACTCTAGAGCAAGGCATATGTAGGCATGAAGTTTAGAATCTTTAAATTCAATGACTAAAAAAACTCATTAGTCATGAATTTGGGACAAGTGTAAAAAGGCGTTAGAAACATGTTCTAAGAGTTTTTTTATGAAAATAATGATTTTGCGCACAAAATTTAACTATTTGTCAACTTATGCCTAATGAAGATGGATATGAGTTGACTAGTTCTATGCCGTTTCTTAAACATTTTGAAACATTAATCCAAACAATTAAAATTTAAACAATTTGTGAAACCCACGAAATTACAATCAATTTATAATTTGTGAGAAAGCCTAAGAGCAAAACCATTCTCAAAAGCCTAATAATCCCAAAAAGGTTCCTAGAGAAGATAAACAAAGCAACCTAGGGCTAGAATCTTGAATGTTTGATCTCACTTAATTACCTTTCTGCTTCACTTTTTTGGCTTGAATTGATCATTCATATGAGCTTTGCCTTCAAGGAGCAATACATTCAAGCTTTATCACCACTTGGTTTACTTTCACATGATTAGCCTTTTGAATTATAAATCTATTACTCTTAGAAATCTTTAGATGGTATCAAACAATGTCTGTTATAATTAAAACACCGGTAATCCATTTGTGATTTTGGGGCTTATAAATTTGTTGTTGAGGGCCTTAAGGCCCTAGATGCACTATGATGCCAGATTATAGTTATTTCCATAATTCTAGCATAAGTTTCTATAAATCCATGCTCGAAATAAAATTATATTGAGAAGCGAGTACCATTAGTATTGTTACTCCCTGAATTCTAGTATAGAAGCAATGCATGCAATTCTCTAAAATCCTGAGCTCAGCTAACTTATATTTAGTAGTCATCCTATTGCAGATCCCTTTTCTAAGATTCATATCGCAATGTATGGTTTTAGTGTGTTTTTTCTTTGAAACGCTGAGAATTTATTTCGTCAATTGTTCTTTAAACTTCTGCTGGATGAAATTATTCGTTATGTTAGAGTGGCAATGAAGAAGAGCCAAGACGAGAATATACACCTGCTGGCCAAGCTCTGAAAGAAAAATTGTGAGTGTAATGTTCTTTCCTTCAAACATTTTGTCATTTAGTTTTTATAGGTGGCTAAACTTTTTTTTTTCTTGTGACAGTGCGAAGCTCCGTACAAGACAAAAAGAACGGCTTGCTGAAAGGCATATCACTGGGGTTCTTTCTTCTGTTGAGAGACCTGAATTATCTATTCAGTCGCTTCTTCCCTCTGTCAAAGGAATGCCTAATGGAGATACTAATAATGACCATAAAGAAGATGCCTGCAAGCTAGATCTTTCGGTCAAACCTGAGGATACCGAAAGTTCTCTGCCATTTGATTCTAGGTTCAACAGCAACTCCATGGTTAAAAATTTAAGGACCATGAGGAATGGGCACAAGAGAGATCATGGCAGTTATCTTGATCTTTCAGTTAGTACTACTGAAAATCTTTCTGCTGTAATTTCACCGAGCAAACACTTTCAGAAAATAAGTCTGGCAACTTCGGTGTCTTCTAGTAATCTTTTACCTGTTTTAGGGCTCTGCGCCCCTAATGCTAGTCAGAGACATTCAACAGCTCGTTCATTTAGAACTCCAGTTAGCAAACAAACATCTCATCAAGGGAAAAGGAGATCTGCTGCCCTTGGCTTGTCAGATTTTATATCAGCACCAGCAGATGTTAGTGGTAGAGAAGCTCTTTCTGAAACATTAACAATGCCAGATAAACCTAGAGAGGTGTTGAATCCTCGGTTAAAGAATATCATTCCAGACAACTACTTTCCCTTTGGTTCTGTACGTATTTTTATTTCCTTCAATTTGTTCTACTTCATTAAACACATCTATTTATTTTAGAATCTTCATTTCCATTTACTTTTTAACAAAATCTGAAATTTAAGTTTGATAGCTGGCGCTTCATTTGCAGGCTCCAATGCTGAATGTAGGATGCCTTTCAGGTATGGGTGAAAGTTCGGGTACTTCTTTCTCCTCGTTTCATGAAAAGCTTGGTCTTCCCAAATTAGATCTTGATGATAGGTTTCCAGTGAAGTATGCCTTTCCACCTTGTACTTCATTGAAACAACAAACAGACTTCTTACCAAGCCTTTCATTGACCTCAAAAATGGAACTTGCTAATAGTTGCAATCCAGACTTATCAAATGTACCTCTGGTGCCCATGATCAGGCAGGAGTTAGATGAGAAGCTGAAAAAAAAACTGCAGTTGCCAGAGTTTTCTCCTGTGCTGGGTCTTGGTACCTTGCAGAATTCACACATGTTACCTGAAAATCACAAGAAGGTTCTTGATAACATAATCAGGAGAACTCGCACAGCTGCGCACAAATTTTGGAAGAAGAGACTAAAGGGAGAAACATGGTCGGAAGATGAACTCGATGCCTTATGGATTGGCGTTCGTAGGCATGGAAGATCTAACTGGGATGCTATGCTCAGGGATCCCAAATTTAAGGTTTTAAAGCATAAATCAATCGAAGAATTGTCATCAAGGTGGAGCGAGGAGCAACTCAAGATACTTGATGGACCTGCAACTTTTTCTCAAAATTCCAATTATACTTACGGTCTTTCTGATGGAATGATGGCACAGGCACTGCATGATAGAAAATTTTCTGCTATTGGGCAAGAACAATCGCCAAGATACCACTCTCACCTTACAGATATTAAATTGGCTTGTGGGGATTTATTGCCGAAGTTCCCTTGCCTTGAACAATCTAGTCAACTGGGTGCGGTTAATGAGAGCGTCCAGCCTCTTCCATTTGGGCCAGCTGACAAGCTTGGATCCTCTTATTTTGAAGATTTGTCTGCAGCCATGAGAAATAGACTGGAGAAGACAACTTTACCTTACAATTCACTTCCAGGTAGTCTCTTTGGAGCCCCAGAGATGATTTCAAGAAGTAACCATAGTCTATTAATGAATGAAGATGTCTTGTTGGCTGCCACTAAAACCACTAAATCGCCAATTTCAATGGAGAAATCACCAAATTTACTCCATGTGGAACAAAGAATTAATTCTGGAGAATCTAGCGCTCTGATGCCATTTTATGCCAAGAAAAAGCGAGTTTTTAGTAGATTTCCTCTTGATGATGATAGTGTTCCTGGTAGTTCGAAAGCTAACAAGCTTCCTCATTGGCTTCGAGAAGCAGTCAGTGCTCCATCAAACCACCCTGAATCTGAGTTGCCACCATCTGTATCAGCCATAACGCACTCTGTTCGTCTTCTTTACGGCGAAGACAAATCAACGATTCCACCATTTGTACCATCAGGACCTCCACCTTTGCAGCCTAAAGATCCTAGGAAGAATTTGAGAAAGAGAAGGAAGTTAGAGCGGCTTCAGCAAGCAATTCCTGATTCTTTCTGTTCTGTTTCCGCTTCAGTCTCAATTCCGACAGAGCCAATTCCTCCCAAATCATCATTAATGGGCTACTGCATGCCTTCAGTACCACCACCAACACATTTCTCTATTCCTCCAGTATTTCCACCATCCACCATTCCATCATTTCCATCATTATTTCCACCTTCCATTCATCCCATACCATCATTGTTTCCATACTCCGGTCCTTCGCCGGCACCAGTGATGCCGACCTCCATTCCTACTGCACCACTTCCATTCATGCAATCCTCATTTCTTCCAGTGCCACCATTGCCTGCACCTTCCATCCCTCCTGCACCACCATTTTTCTCATCCTTCGTTCATCCTATGCCAATATTGTTTCAATCATCTTCGTCCACAGCATTATCGATTCCTTGCCCAATTCCAGTAGTACCTCCATTTCCACAGGACTGTATTCCTGCAGAACCTACCCTAATTCCCTGCTCCTTTCTTCCGACAGCACCATTGACGTCCTCTTCAACATCTATGGCTACAAATGAAACTTTCTCCACCCTTCAGTCGATGAACTTGAACTTAAATTCTCCTTCATCTTCACATGGTGGTCTTGGAACTCAATCACCTGCAATGCCATTCGCATCGTCAGCACCTGATGCTCCTACCCTTAGCCATGAAAATTCTGAAATTCCTGCATCGAAGGATCCCGAGCCTTCTCAACAAGCTGGAGAGGATTTGGTAAAAGACTTCAATTGCTTTCATATGAAACAGGAAGCAAACTCAAATGTAGATTGTGAGAAGAAGCTGGAGTGTGGGAACTCGAACACTGCTGCGTCAGATTCATCTAGCGCTGATGAACTTAACAAGGTACAGGAAAACTCATCAAAAGAAACTGTTTCAGACCCAAAAAATGAACGAGAATCTTGAATTTTTCGTCTTTTTTTTTTTTTTTTACTTCTGTAAGAGCAACTTTCTCTTTCCCAAGTTTTTAATTCTAAGGAGATGAAAATGTAATATTATCATGCATGAATACTATTGTCATGTAGAATTAGAAGTGTTCATTGTTCAAGACATCTAATTGTAAAGTTTATAAATGAGGAATATAGTGTTTTTTAAGTTGTATTTTTTTCCTTTATTTTCTTCATTCCTTCTGTTAGAACTAATTATAAAAATGACAGCTGTGCTAATATAATTCCTTATTAAAAAAAGTAAAATCACACGGCTTAACTTTTGTCTGTTGGTTGGAAACTATGTTTTCCAAATAAGAGGTCTTGGATTTGGATCTTGTGTATTTGATGTGATTGTGAATTTGCTTTAATTGGTCTAAATGTATTAAAAAAAAGTAAATTATGCTATTGGATTAAATCTTTATATTATTATTATTATTATTGTCAAACTATTCTGGTTTGAATTGAGAATTAAGGGACAGCTCTCTAATTGAAAGACATAGCATATACACATGATTCGAGCTTAATATCTCTTAGTTGGTAGTCAAAGCACCTAACCAACAGATCAAGGAGAGCTGTGGAGTGTTCTAATACTTTAGAAAGTTCTCATTATTGTACTCTCGTTTTGTTGCTTCTATGAATTATATCAAGATATTCTAAGTCCTCAAGCAACCTTCTCTCCGTCCGGGAAAATTATTAGGTGCGAATATCAAATGTAGAGATACGTGCCAACATCTACTTAAATTTTGACGTGGAGTGCACTTTGGTTGCACTTTTTTGTGCACTTTGGTTGCACTTTTTGTGCTCTTTAGTTACACTTTAGTTGTGCTTTAACTGCTCTTTTGTTGTATTTTTTACTGTCTTTAACTGCTATGTTGTTGCGTTTTTTTACTGCATTTTACTTGCGCTTTGACTACACTTTTGTTGCGTTTGGCTTAAAGTTCCGCTGCATATTAAATATATAAAGTAAAAAAATTCCGGGGGCAAACTTATAAGTAACTGTCGGGGTACGACTAACCCGGTCAGGTCACGGGATCAAGGAGCAGCGCCCCTGGAACAAATTTTGGTTGTAAGAATATTTTTGGAATTAAAATTAATAAATAAAATGATAAATTCTCTTTACTATTTTTCTTCGTATTTGTTTCATCGTTTCCTAATAATAAGACATCTACACAATGTGTTTAATTATGTTGGGGGCAATTGTTTATAAACCATAGTATTTTAAAAATTTTAGGGGGGGGGGGGGCGGCGCAATTGCCTAAAAGCCCTTGTAATAAAGAGTAAAAAAAAAAGATGGAGGGGAAAATTACCTAAAAATCCATAGAATAAACAATTTTTTTAATTTTTTTAGGGGGGGCAATTGCCCCCCTTGGGGCTAACGTGCTTCCGCCCATGACCATCATTATAAAACCGTTATTATCCAATCGTTATTGCCCAACTGATATGGTTGAACTCATATTCCCTCAACTACTTCTCATATAATCCCTACGGTTTTTTTTTTTTTTTTTTGTACAATTTTTATGAAATCCGGCTTGGCTTGGGGATTTTTATGGTTTGGAATAGTTCATGCTGTTTCAGCTATTTTTTTTGTTTGTAATATTCAATATTTAAAATAACTTATATTAAAATATTGAATATTATTGTTGTCATTGCATTTGATATGCACATCATACTAAATAGCACCAAACTATTTAGAATATACTGCTTTTACTTTAAATATACCTCACAAAAAAAGTTCATCTGTATTACTTTACAGATAACTACATAGCTCCAAAGTATTCTAAATAAATTGTATTTATTTTACACTGTATTCATAATATAATAGCTCAAAAGTTTAAAATAAATTTATTTAAAAAGCATTAAAATTGTGGGTTGAGCACCGTGTTGTTTGTGCTTGCGAGCAACATGGCTTTGAGGGGTGTTGTGCTAGGGCGCCATAATTCGGCGCGGCGCGGCGTTGGAATGAGCATGCGTCGTTGTGGCGTCGAGTTGGAGCGTCGCGCGGCGCTCCAACTAAAAATATTTTTAATAAATATTTTTCTCCACTCAGCCCTACCCTCCCCACTATTCCATTTCTTATTGGAGAAGAAGCCGAGGAATGGAAGAAGGGAAGGGAGAGAGAAAGCTCTTCGAAGCTTTTTAGTCCATCGCTTATGCTATAAAAAACGTTTTGATTGTTGTAAGTGGTTATACTCTTATATTTGTTTTCAATTATTATGATTTCTACGAGTTTAATCTTTTCAAAATTAATAAAAATATATTATTCTCTCAATTTATCGAGTTTTCACTGTATAACTTTTCGTATATGATAAATATGATCTTCACAAGTATTTTGACTGTATTGAATTTCACCTGGCAAATTGGAAGTTATGCTTTTCTAAGGTAAATACATAGTATTCAATTTTGTAGACTTCCTTGCATTTTTTGGATTATTGCATTTCATACATGATATTGATTTATATTTCATAGAAAAATGACATGACTAATATGAGATAAATGTAACATTTGCATGTAAACAAGAAATATATTATGCTAACACTATAATTAATACGGGTTAACTCTTAAAATATAACATTTTGCATAGGAGGGTGGGTCAACGAGCTTTCTTTAAAGTAAATGGGTTGTGGTGTGATATTAGTTGTAGTTTGCAATCAATTGATCGAGTTATACTGACGGATGGAGTGTGATGACTCTTCATTGATCTGTTGAAGGTCACTTGTTTAAAATAAATTATTAATAGAAATAATTGAACGATATTATTAACTTATGATGATAGATTTATAAGATGGTTGGATGACAGATTAAATGATGAAAATATCACATTAAAGTTGGATGTCATACCTTATTTTTAATGATTTTATTCCTGATTCCATTCACATGATAGCATATGAATTACTTGATAAATAAAACTGATAGAACCTACATTGATATGATAGCATATGACAGAGTCATTGATGAGCTTATGGATATAATACATTCATAAGTACTTTAAAAAAAATTAAAAAAAAACATTCATAGGTACTTTGACTTAGCATATTGATATAGTACTTAAGAGTGATAATCTTTTTTTTTTATCATTTTTCTTATAGTTTAATAGATCTCTCTTAGCTTTAATGATCATATTAGTTTTACTATTGATTAATATGAATTTTACATATTGCTCATTATTTGTACTAAATAGACTATTGATTGTTGATTGATATTGATTTAAACTGGAGTTTGCATATTGATTCATTTATCTTATATTGAATGCAGTGATAATTTTGAATTTTAGACCTTGATATAAAAAAAATTAAATTATGACTATGAAAATATAATTATGTTTATCATTGTTTATATTTTCTTGAATACAATTAGTTTACTCTGATTATCAATGTTCTGGTAGTTAAAATAAAATGAAATTATTATACTTTAGATCTCGGGGCGTGACATATAATACATTACATTTCTTTTTTAGATATGTAAATAGGACAAAAGAATTATTATTTTTTAATATTTGTATAATATATTTTAAAAATTTTTGTTGTGAAAATTTATTTTAAATCTCTTTATTATTTCGAAGCTGAAAATAAATTAATAAAGCATATGATTTAGATAATTGATAGTATTTATTATAAAAGAATTTTCTCTTAATCATATTTAAATCAATATTTATTGGTTAATGATTCGTTTATTTTTTTATTATCTTTAAGTTTAGTGCTTAAATCTTTTTTTTTTTCATCTCTCTCTCTCTATTCTTCTCTTCTTCTTCTTTGTTGCTCTCGGATCAACCCTAGCTATGGCATCTCCGAAAAAGATGTTCCAGATCTTCGTTGCCTTCCCTGACCTAGGCCTTCCTTCCCGATCCCTTTCCCTATCGCCCGATCTCACCCTCCACCGCTTAAAGCGATCCCTTTTCCCCTACCAAACCCAAACACAAACCCTGAACTCCCTCTACTTTTCCCTCAACGGCAAACCCCTCCTCGACTCTTCCACGGTTTCCTCCGCTGGTGTTACGAGCTCAGCACTTCTCACCCTGCGCCTCCGAGTTGCCGGCGGCGGAGGCGATGGCGGCGCCACCGGTGCCGAATCGCGCGATTGTTACCTCAACATGTATGCTGTCAAAAAGCCCGACAAGGTTGACCCGAACGAGACCCGAATTTCGCGCTGGACTACTTGCGCCCTCTCCACTGAGCCGCTCGCCCCTCCATGCGTGATTGATAGAATTGGTAATATCTTCAACAAGGAGCCTCTCGTCGAAGCTCTCATCCACAAGCGGCTTCCTAAGGAGTTTAACCATATCAGAGGGTTGAGAGATATGATTCCTATTCATCTTTCGCCAATACCTGATGCTGGTAGACCGGAGATGAGGTTCCAGTGCCCAATTTCTGGGCTTGAGTTCAATGGGAAGTATGGGTTTGTTGCTATTAAGGGATGTGGGCATGTTTTGAGTGTGAAGGCTTTAAAGGAGGTGAAGTCGTCTGCTTGCTTGGTTTGCCATAAGGAGTTTTCGGAGTTGGATAAGGTTGTGATCAATGGAAGTTCTGACGAGGTGGCTGTTCTGAGGGAGAGGATGGAAGAGGAGAGGGGAAGGTTGAGGGAGAAGAAAGAGAAGAAAGTTGGGTATAGTTTGAGTGGCACAAAACATGGGGTTGATGAGAAAACTAGGAGCTTGGAGAATGTTGGGCATGATAGGTGTGGGAAGAGGTTCAAGGCTGTTGATATTGCTCCTGTTAATGCCACCAAGGAGGTTTATGCTTCTATTTTTACTTCATCTAAGAAGACCGAGTTCAAAGAAACTTATTCTTGCCGGTCACTGCCGCTTGGTAGGAATTGAGGAGGTGAAACCTGATGGAGTGTTGCCTTGTTTGCAAAGTGGTACATGGATATTTCTCTCTTCTGGTTATGTAGTTAGTAAGAGTTAAATTACGTTGGTTAACAGCGTGAGCACGGTGCCTTTGGAATATTTTGTGATATATTTGCTGTTTTAAACTAACTACATCAGGTGGACTGCCTAAACTCCTTTTAAATGTATGAACGACTTAATAGAATATGTTATGATTGTTTGGGTTTATACACATCAAACATGCTGCCAAGTTATTTTGAATTGTTTTCAATGTCTTTTCCTTTGTATTTCTCTATTCAGTGAGTTCCATTAGTTTTTTAACTAGTCTTGCATGTATGAGTTTTTAGTGTTATAATATGGCAGAAAATGAGTTTGTGTTGAAAATTTGGAAACCAACTTTAGAGGGCATTTGAACCCTCGCCTTCACTTTGATAAGTGGTGGGCATCACTATTCAATGAGTGTTATTTAGTTTCTTGAATTCTTCTTGCTTTTATATGTTTTGATGTTATGTAGCATAAAATGAGTCTGTGATGAAATTGTGGAAATAAACTTTAGAGAGCATTTGTACCCTTTCCTTCACTTTGATAAAGTGGTGGGCAATGCCATCTGAGTTTACTCATGGAGAAAGCCACTTGCTAGCCCAAATGTCTAATAAAAGTTTTAGTTTTGATTGATTGTCAGGTGATGCTACATCTAGTTTTTTGTTTGTTTGACTTCTAAAACGTCAAATTAATTCATAACCTGGCAAGTTTATATTATGCGAAGCAGTGACTTAATATATGGATCAATCAAATGCCCCCTTGTAATACTCCTGTGCATGCTGTGTAATACAAGCTTCAGTGCCAGTTTTTAGAGCATGGGGATGGACAAGAAAGAAGCTTCCACCAGTAGTTAACGTTTTCTGTTTTTCTTATTTTGTCACATTTGAAAACCAATCCTAAGCTTGGGTTAGTCAGTATTTTTTGGGCCGTTCTTCTCTTCTCAGAGATATCATTTTACGAGCGCTGATATTGGTTGAAATTTTTAATATCTGGTCTGAGATTCAATACAGCAGTAAAGGTGACTCATGTCGTATGCTTTTAATGACTAGAGGTTCTATATTTTGCAAATTGATAAGTTTTGCTTCTAGCTGCTATGTCTATGGGTTTGTCCATTTGAAGTTAAATGGTTTGGAAGAATGTTTTAGGTCATGTCCTCTATGTCACTTTCAATCATGATGTAGTTTTGTTCTATACTAGTTAATCAAGGGGGGTTTACATTTTACATACATACCACTTTATTTCATGTTATTTACATATCTATCACCTAAAACATTAATATTACATGCCTACCACTCATATAACAAATTTGGATGCATGAAATGAAATATTAAAGTTTATAGGATGGTATGAATGGTAGAAATGAATTATAGGAGTGGTATATTTGATATTAAAGTTGTATATGGGTGGTAGACATATAATATTTAATATTTTAGGTGTTAGATATAATATTTAATATTTTAGGTGTTAGATATGTAAATAGCATGAAATAAAGTGTAAATTTCCCTAAATTTTAAGTTTGCATGGGAAGATATAGAGTTCATTTTTAGTTGACTGTCTAACATAAAATTTATATCAAAAATTCATATATGAATCCATTTTTTTGTTTAGGAAGTGTTTGAGCATTATTTTAGAATGGAAGTTGGGAGGGATTTGCTAATACATCACTCGTAAGAAGCATGCCAAAATCTAATTGTGATGAAAAATAATCAAAGATTTAAGATGTAACTTGGAAATTGATGTAGCTGAACTCAAATGTAGTGTACGTTTGGTTTGGTTTGACTAATTTAAAAATAAGATAAGATTTTCAGTATGGAAATTAGGGTGTTCGAATGGAAATGTTTGAAAATTAGTTGATGAGAAGAAGAATAAACATTGCATTTGGTGCAAAGAATTTAAATGAAAGGTGTAAATTCTAAAACATTTGGAATTGTGATGTGAAACAACATGGACGGCTTTGCAAGGGAGAAGATCTCTTCTCCAAAATTCCAAGTCCTTCCACAAAAGCTGAGAATCTCTTTAAAGGAATATGGGAAGCTTTCGGCCAAGAGAAACAACCTCAAACTTTCTTTCCAAAACCTGAGATAAATCTCAGATATTGCTTAGGAAATAAAGGTGGGGGAGGGAAAGAATATTGATTAGAGTTCAGGTGGAGAAATAAAAAAGGAAGGAAAAATCTGGGAGGGAGAAGGGGACGGGTCAGAAGAGAAAAGAAGGTGACATTGGCGGTGGATTGAGAGGCGGTGGGGAGGGATTTTGATTTCCTGATTGAATGCCTTGAATTAGGAAATCAAATTACTTAGGCAAGGGATAGGGAATTTCGGCTGGAGAAAAAAGGGGAAAAAGGTAATAAATGTGAGTGAAGCCAAGGCGGAGGTGATTTAATTTGGAGAGTGATTTGAGTAAATTAATGTCTTAAATCTGAATTTAAATTCAGATTTGAGAATTAATGACGATTGGCTTAAATGGTGGGAGAGATTAATGGTGTGAATAATGCTAATTCGAATTCAAATTTTGGAATTCAAATTTGCATTAATGAAGAGCTCTTCCCTAATTGGAAACTAATTGATTATAAGGGAAGAATTAAGGGAGGCTGGCGGGATTTTGAATTCAAAATTCTGAGATTTTATTTCAGAATTAATGACATCATTAAATGCCTAATTATTAAGAATGAATTAAGCAATAAATAAATTTGAATTCAAATTTGAATTTTTTGAATTCAAATCCTTCGTTAACTTAATCCCTCCAATTTAGGAAATGCAATTAATAATTGGAGCAAAGGTGGGGTTCTCGGTTGGGGATAAGGAGGTGGATGGTGGCCAGTGGCTAGAGCTTGGGCCGGCGGTATGAGGGGTCGGGTGGAGTGTCGGCCGTGGGTTGAGGAAGTGGAGCTAGGGGGGGAATACTTGGGTGGATGAAGAGGGGAGGAAGTAGATGAACAACAAAAAATACGAGTAAAATAGAAGATAACTAACGAACTCACAAAGAGATCATAAGAACCGCGAACCTCTGACTCTTCCAAAGATTGACGGGTATTGCTTTTGCCCTCACCTTGGGCTTTCCATAGAACTCACACAAAGATCTAGGAGAGTTGAACTCACCAAGAGATCAAGAAAATATGAACTCACAAAGAGATCAAAAGTAGAAATTTTCATTCATCATCGTCATCATTATACAAGAGAATGAGCTTCTATATATAGGCCTCAAGAGAAATTAAAAGTCACATTTTCCCCTTGGGCTTACATAAGACAAGAGGGTAAAAAAGGTAAATTGCGAAACTAAATTAAAATACACTTAATAAACGAAAATAAAACAAAGTGATCTCGGTCGTCGATCTTCAGCTCCTCCTCGGACAAACATGGACGGTTGGATGTCCGCATCAGATTGTCATAAATTATTACATGTTAGGATAATATTAGGCATGCATAAGTTATTATTTTAGAGTTTAAAATTTTGAAATCAACAGTGCTAGTAATATGATGATTTTTATGAAGTGAAATATTTTTGTTTACACTATAGATTTCGATTATCTTTATGCTCTAGTCAGATTAGATTTTGAATACTAATTTTCAAATAAATTGGGTGTTATTACAAGTATGCGCTAGTAACTAGTTAAAAAACGTAGATACTTTTGTTTTTTGCGGTGAGTTAAATTGAAATTTGGTACCAAATCAGTTAAAATGTGGAGAGGATTCAAGGTGGTTCTTGACGGGAGAATGAAATGTGATGAATGATACTACATTTTATTTTGTAATAGCATGTGATATCACAACGAAAAATAAAGAAAAATGTTTAGTTGCTTTTTGAAAGTGTAGTTGCTAAAGTGCAAATGAAATATTTATTTAGAAGCAAAGAATATTTTCTTTTGCAAAAGTTGTATGGTGACTCTAAAAATAAAGTTTAGCCACACAATATGGAGTTATTGTTGTGGAAATAATTTAAAGGTTTTGAAAGAGTAAAGGATTTGATGATTGAAGTGAAAAGTTGAGAATTTTTAGTTTTTTAAGGTTGTTTATTAGAAGAGGTGAGTTGAAATTTTAATGTGGGATGAAAATACTAGTTGAATTAAGGAGATTATGATTGAAGTTTTGTGGGAGTCTGAAAATAGTTCATGTAGAAGGGACCTGGTTATAGAGTGAATTGGAAGAAAAATTTGACCATCATCATCATTAGTATTATATTAACTTTTTGGGATTAGCTTTATGCAAACCGCCAGTATCATTACAGAATACAAAGTTTTCACTTTTTATTTATGTTAGAAATTGCATCACTTTTATCTTTTCAGAATATAATCACCGAGTTTAAGTTTTCATAGATATAAATTGCTATTGGCCTTGAATAGAACTCATTTGATTTCTGAGGCATGTAAACCTCTCAACATGATCATGTTACAGTATAGTTGCCAATATCTGCTGAATGAGGCCTTTTTTTGGTCTTTTTTTTTTTTTTGGTTCCAAACACTCTTTTTTCTCAAGTGAATTTTGCTTTTCATGATATGTGTGAATGCATTTTGGAAGTAAAAACAGCAAGATAGCAAGTAGAAAACTGTAGGAATTTGAAGATATGGGCTGATTTTGATTAGCACTTCAACAATAATGAAAGATACAATTGATCTACTATTCGAGAGGTAGATCAGCTCTCTCACAAACCCTAGACGTTTCCAAGAACAACTCCTAAGAAAACTACAACAAACATTAATCACATAATCAAAATAAAACAACCTAATTACCCTTAAATAAACCATCATATTTTCCATCAAAATCTGAATTCAAATCAGCCCTCTTTCCTTTAATAAAACTTTCCTAATTTTCTCTCAAATTTGAATTCAAATCAGCCTTTTTTCCTCTAAATAAAATCCTCCTAATTCCCTCTCAAATCTAAATTCAAATCAGCCACATTTCCTTAAATTAATCTTTCTTAATATCCTCCCAAATCTAAATTCAATCAGGCATCTTTTCTTAAATAAACTTTCCTAATTATTTATATCATGGTTTCTCCTCCTTGCATAGTGAATATTAACTCTCCCTAGCCCCAAAAGTTCAGGGCTTTAGCCTTTCTGTATGACACATAGTTATTAACTGGAATGAATAATGCCAGAATGACTTGAGCTGATTTTGTGCAGTTATATAATTTCATGTGCAGTAGAGCTAAATCACTTGAGGTAGTCTAACATATTTTCTTCTGTCAATGCGTTAATTCAAGCTATAATAACTATCCGTCAAAAACAGAACTTCCGAACTATGTCTCAAGTAATCATTATAATAGCAGACAAAAAATAACGCAGGGTGGAGAGAGCAAATGAGTTTGTTGATTGTACAAGTTGACAGCGAGAATTTGTGTGTCATTGTTTACACAAATCACTTCGCTCGCTTGAATATATATTACACTGTAATTACATGTCTAGCTGCACTGTAAAAGCAAAAAATTTACTGTAGTATTAACAATTTCAATGAACTGGATAGAGTATTTCAAATACCTCAAAAATTACTCAAAATTTACTTTCTTCCAAACAAACACCTGAATCAAATCCCTGCAACTAGTTTTTTTTTGTATATTGTTAATACTTGCAACCAAATATAACTTTAACATAAGTTGATTGCATCGAATTTGTAAGAATACATCAAAGAAGGAAGAGAAGCTATTGAGGTTCAGAATGAGTAATTCTTCTGCAATATCTTGCTCAGGACATCACCTAATATGCTCACAATGCACTGAGACAAAGTTGTATGCTTTTTTTTTTTTTTTTTTGTGACTAGGAAGCACTGTCCTTAGGCCAGTGAAAATCCCAATCGACCTAGCATGCAACCCACACTAATTTACACGGGCTAACACTTAAAGCTTTCACTGCTTGCCAAGGGATTTGAGCCAGGGACCTAGGCTTTGCCCAACCGGCTCTTCACCATCCGGACAAGCAGCGGTGGGTAAAGTTGTATGCTTCAATAAGCATTATGTTCCAGGTTGCAAGTTCTGAAGTTCCACCCCTCTCTCAAATTCCCTCCCTTTATTTATAAATTCGTAGAAACAATTACATCATTGAGGTTTCAGAATGAGTAAGACTTCGTTTGGGACGGCTTTCTTTCTGCTTCTTAAAGCAGCTTTTTTATTTTTGTACTAAAAAATTGCTTTAAGAAGCAGTAAAAAAACTGTGCCAAATGAAACCTAAATATCCTGCAATATCGAAATGATTTAATAAGTACATTATGTTCCAGGTTGCAAGTTCTGAAATTCCACCCCTCTCAGATTCCCTTTATTTTACTCATTATCAAAGCACAGAACCTCAAATCCATAATTGCTGAGGAAAGCCAGAGACATCTATCAACTAAACTAAACAATTTTTTGACCCAGCTACTCTATATAAAATTGATGTAACTTCTCTTTGATTGATTGATTGAGTGATTTCATTTTGCTGATTATTGGAATGAGTCAGATGAATTTTTTTAGGAGTTTTTATAAACATAACATTTAAAATTATTATATTATATTTCTATAATCTAAATTATACAATTTATTTTTCTACCACCTAAATACAATTTCTCTCCCTTAAAATATCACTCCGCTGGCTTTCGTCAAAACTTAACCCCGACCTTTGTTTCACGAAACTTCACCGGAGACAGGGAAGGTGCTTCAGGTGGGCATGATGGAGGAGTGCGACGGTGAAGGAGAGGGAGAGGGTGAGTGTAACTACTAGTACGCCAATGGCTATCGTCGGTTTTGCCATTGTTAAGCTCTGTCTTAGTTTCTTTAAGTTTTTTAGACGAAGAGAAGGAAAGTAGAGGATGTGTTTGATTCTATGGCGAGAAAGAGCATTGTAATAGAATGCATCTTGTCTTAATGAATAATAAAGATGGTCACATCATATACTACATATAATGATGATATAATGAAAAAAAAAAATCCTCCATTTATCATTATTCACTTCAAACATCCTTAACAATCACAGCAAAATCAATGAGCCCTCTATCCACCAAATGCCAAAAAAAGAAATCCTTAACAATAGAAAAGCTCTAGTTCATGCCTGTCAAAGAATGAATAGCAATTCAATTCATAGCAGAATTTAATCTTTAAAGTCAATCACTAAAGTAATGACACTTATAGGTCAAACCCACCATCAAAATAAGGACATTGCTGCTAAAAACTCAATAATCTAATAACCAAAATGCAAAATCCTAATTCGCGTCTCCACAACCACCACAGAAGCATCATTCTTGAATTTGATAAGCTCTCTCCTCTCAAAGAGCCCCTCCTGAACAACCTGGCACAACAAGCACGTCGTCTGGATCACCCTCATTGATGAGAAAGTATTCTGTGCGATCATCGGGCCGTCCAGAGGCAAATCAGAGCACGCCACGTCACCTAGTACAGAGTATCGACACACAGCAAAAAAAGTAACGTTGTGCGCTCTGATTTATCTCTGGATGCCATCCATTGACCGCTCAGAATAATTTTTCCTCATCGACACACTTAGCTCCTTCACATAACTCCCTATTTTCATCAGATCAGAACGTTGAAATCCACAACGCAAAACCATCGGCGATGCAGGGAAAAACGTTAGCGAAGAAATTGGCAACATATTACAGTTGGAGAATGCTACATTGAGAGGAGCGAAAAGAACGTCAGAGTGGGGTTTTGACGAGAGCTGACATAGTGGTATTAGGCATGTAATTACAATAAATTTAGGTTTTGTGTATGTAAAAAACATTTTTTTTATTTATTAAAATAATGAACGATAAGTCAAAAAATTTGTATTTTAAACTCCTAATGATAATATTCATTCATCTATATATGTATGAATGCATTTGTTAATATTTATATAGGTGTATAATATATTAAGAATTTATCTTATAAAGTTTGAAGATGAATTTGAAAGTGAATATTTGACTTATAATGAAATTAATGATATTGTCTCCATACAAATAATAAATAATAAACATGAGATGGGGTGATTCAAAACCAATGAAAATTTTAAATTTTTACTATATATTGGAGTTCAATTTTATTAAATTGATTCGTCTGTTTGTTTGGGCTCAACTCAATAAATGATTTATTAGCCGAATCCACTGTTCTAATGAGCTAAGTTTGAGCAAGTCTCGAGATAAATCAATTTATAATTCAAATTATTTAAATAAATATTAACAAAAAATATATATATTATAATTATTTTAATTTCAAAACCATTTGAAAATAGTAAAAATACTGAACAGCTCAATTGTTTTTTTAACTAATTTATTATAAGATCTCTCATAATATCTCATATTATGAATTTTAATTTAATTTGATAAATCACAAATACAATTATCACTATTGGTAGGCGTATCACTTGTCGTGTTCGGGCCAGTAGGTTCAATGGCTGGGTTCGTGTATTTCCATATAATAGTCCCACATCGTTGGGAAGAAAAATATCGCGCTATCTGTTGCTATAAAATGCATTCGCCTCCATTTGAATTAATCACGCAGCTGCGTGGTGGGCACAGAGCGAACTATTCTTTCGCCTTTTACTAAAGAATACCGTGTGTCCGCCACTCAAAGCAGCATACGCCATTTTTTGGAAGGGTTTCTTGAAAAAGAAATCCTTACAAATCAAAACAAATTTTTATTAACTTAAATTACATAAAGGTTATTTAGAAAAAAATATTATTATTTGGCTCTATAACGTTGTACTAATAAGCTGTTTTAAAATTGTATAATTATTTTTATATCATTTATTTTAAATTCAATTAAAAAAGCTATTAATGTTTATTTATCTAAAATAGAATGTATGTTTTTTTCTTTTGAAAATACTTATAAAAGGAATAAATTTTCATTATATATTTATTAAGATTTGTTGAGTTTAAAGAACTATTATGTTTTTGAAAATGTGTGTGTATGTATATATATATATATATATATTTGTGATGACCAGAGATAAATTTTTTAAGAATTTACCGAAATTGCACAAAATATTAGAATTTATTTATTCAGCTCTACAAAATATTAGAATTATTTTTTCAACTCTTAATGTTTATTTACAACTTATATTATTATTTAATTTGTTAATGGCATAGCTAATGAAATCATTGGACACTTGCAATGATCTTTTATTGGACTCGTAGGATCTTATTAGGCATTTCGTTTGTTTGTAGATGCCTTCTCCTGACAAACTTGTGCGCATTTTTAGAGGTGTCAATTCAGGTCAGTGGGTTGGGTTCGGGTCGAATTCGAAATTGACACGATATTATTCAGATCAACTCGAATCTGACAAGTTTTTTAAAATGGGTCGGGTTTTCGAACCCGATCCTATTCGGGTCCTGGTCAACTCGACCCAACACGAATGTCCCGAAGTTGACCTAAAATTGCTAACTTTCTAGTTAATATTCGATTTTAAGGTAAAAAACGGGTCAATGTTGGTTTTCGGGTCAAATAGGAGTTTTCATGTCATTTCCGGATCATTTTCGGGTTGTTGGGTCATCCCGAACCCGAGCCGATTTTTAAAAAGGCTTGATTTGTTGAACACGAATCTGACCCGTTTTGGGTCTGGGTTGACCCGAATCCGGATTTTTCCGAGTTGGGTTCAGATCGTATTTCGGGCCATGTCAAAAATTGACACCCCTACGAGTCTCCTCTTTTTCGCTATATGGCCTCAGCAATGGGGCCTTTACAAAACATTAGAATTTATTTATTTAATACAGAATATTCTTTTTGAAGCGGAAAATGAGTTACCATTTAATGATGACAAATATGATGTTTTTTTGTTAAGAAATAATGTTCAAGTGGAAATAATTATTATTTTATGTGATTATTAATGCATTTTGGAGTATAACGTAAACTTATCCGTTAGAGATGGTCTCAGATGAAAGGTATTGAGTGAAGTGGTTGTAATATTTGATATTTTTTTTTTATTTTAATAGTTTGAGTATTATTATATGCATATAAATAATAAAATTTAGCTGCTAACTATATAAATTCTAATATTTACATCTGCTATGTGTGTATCTTATTTAAGATTTTTTTTTTTTTTTTTAATTTGTGTGTTGAGCAGAAATAGAGTATGTTACGCTTTTGAATCAGCATGCAAAGAGGAATTCGAAGACTGACGCTTGGCTCAAAATCCTTCCTTTCTCCTGTGTCTTTCCTCTAAGCTGTCACAAAGAAAGAATAATACAATACAAAAAAGAGTAGCAACAAGATCCCTTCTTTTCATTATTCTTGAACTCCCGAAGCATTCCAGAACCTAAAAAATCTCTTCTTTTCTTTCAGACTCTCGAGATCGAGGACGGCAGCAGAGACAAGAGATATCCTAAATGTCCAATCTTCAGCTCAACCTCACTCAAACTTTCTGTGGCTTCTCCTGCCGCAAGATTAGAGCTTCTTCAAATGGTTTCAATCTAAACGTTCGCCCCTTTTTTGTTCTTATTTCGCTTCAATGTGAGAACGCATTCATTATAATGATCCTAGAAATAAGAAAACTTGTGTTTTTTTTTTGGCTGGAAGTTCTCATGGATCTAGGGTTTTGTTTGGTTTCTGTTTATGGCCTGGTTTCTCCGGATTTTCAAACCTATTTAGATTTGAGTGTTTCATTTTTCTTCTGGATTCTGGGGTTTTCTTAGTTTATAACGTGATAGTTTTGTGGGATTACTACTGTTGACTAGATATCCTAGAATTTTAGGAATACTGTTATTTTTATTTTAATGTTTGTGTTTTATGCTGGAACTTGATTATGAGATTTGATTATTAATTGGCTTTTGGGTATAGGAATTCCCTTCTCCAAGCCAAAATCAGGTGGCCTTGTTATTCTAGATATACCTCTTGAGAAAATAAGAAGGCCACTAATGCGTACTCGAGAAAATGATCAAGAAAAGGTGAAGGACCTCATGGAGAGCATCCGAGAGATTGGACTCCAGGAGCCTGTAAGTATACTCTGCCTGGTTTCTCTAGAGCTGAAAGCTATACTGAAAATTAATACTGAACTTGATATTCTCATGGTGGCCTTGTTTGTATGGTTTTGTTTCTAGTGAATGATTTCTTGTACTCTATTTAATTTGTGGAGAATTTTATTGACAAATTTATGATCATTTTTAAGAGGCAAGCACAGGTGTTCTCTAAGAGATAGAGAGATGCATTGAATTTAATGCGAAAAATAAGCAATTTTAAATGTTTTGTTTGAAATCTTGGTTTGAAAAGTTATCAGAAAGCTAATCATTAGTATTTCCTGACCGAGGCAAAATAAATTTGTTATGCTCATAATTGAACTTGTGGAAGAGATGAAATAGAACTGAGATTTATCTCCTGTATTAGAAGATGAATGGATTATCAAATGGAGAGGTTAGAAAATTTAAACTTCTGGTACAAGAAGGTTATTTAGCTGTCATCTCTAAATATTGAATATTTAACCGATAAATTGATATTTCAATGTGTAGAAATCATGATGTCTATTTGAATATTCAACCTAATATGAAGTCTTTGAAAAATAACACCAACATTTTAATGATACTAAACCAAACATTCCCCTTCATTCAATTGTTTCCTTATGTTTATAATGTGCTAATGCTACTAGGATTTTACTATTCTTTATATATCAAAGGGAGTTTGAGAATTTTGAAAGAAAAGCCAACTTTCAGTCTAATTGCTCTTATTGTGGTAAAATCTGTTCAAGAACTGCATCATACCTAGTTTTGAAGGACTCACATATGCCATTAGGAGTTGGCAGGATAGTTAAATTTATTGAATTATAGACCATAACAAACCTATATGGTAAATTTATCTACATGCGTGGTTTTATACTTTATGTGATTTGAAAATTTGGTGGGGGCAAATTTCCTTCACCTCTTCTTTTTTTTTTTTCCTTCACCTCTTCTTGTGTTGGGTGATTGTATCAATTAGGTGTAACGTTTTCACAAGATTTTGTTGATATTACTCATTTTAATGCAACTTTTTCACTCGTTTTCTTTGTGTTGAATAAGAATATCATGTGATACTTTATATGGGCTATGAAGATCTTGTAATATGTTGAGAGATCTTTTAGGCTTCACTAGCCCAAATATTGGGATTCATCTCCCATAACACTTGTGGAATCACTAACTTATGGGGATTCACTCACTTATCATATTGAGAAATTACTTACCCAAATAAAAAGAAATTCTCATTGTCTCATCCTTAAGTTCTCTTTGATACCCTTCCATATCAATGCCTTTATAATTTTAAAAAAAAAAAACAAAATCTTAGCCAATTAAATGAGGTAATTTGTAGAGGGTAGTTGGTGGTTGGGACTACAATTTGATGAGGTGATTTGTGGGTGGTAGGTGATGGTTGGATAATTAATTTCTAATGAATATAACTTCATTCCTCCCTTCATGAAAGAAACTTGGTTTTGAATTTGATCTTTGACAAATCATCTCCTTCTTAATAGTTGATCATTGCTTATCAAAATGCTTGAGTTGAGACACTGAGAAACCCACACTGATGCCAATTTGATGTCACCCAAGAAGATGAAGTATATTTGAAAATAATTAAGAAGAGGGATTTTTTTACTATAGGAAAAAACAGAGTGAAAATTAAGATTCATTCACCCAAAATTTTTATAACCCGCTTACCCATAACAATTGGGAAATCACTCACCCTAACAAGAGGATCTAATCATGCTCTTATAATTAAACTCACTCCCAAAGTCCTTCTATCTTTGCCTTTTATAACCTCAAATATGAATACATAGCCAATTAAATGTGTTGTTGATTGTTTGCGTGTGGGTGGCGGGAGGGGGTGGTATTTGGGGGTTGGTTAAATGAGGTAGTTGGTAAGTACAATAAATTATTTGATGGATACTTTATTATTCTCCCCTTCATTAAAGAAAATGCAGCCTTGAGTTTGATATCTAACAAACTTACCCCTTGATGTGGTCAATTGGTACTTAGGTAAAGCTTTAAGATACTATAAAAGTTGCTTGATACTAAGTTGATGTAGCCCTAGAAGATGAAGTAAAATTAAAAATAGATAAGAAGAATTTCATTACTATAATGTGAAAATACATAAGAGAAAGTGGAGATTCACGCACCCAAAAATATTAGGACACACCCATAACTTTTTTGGGATTCTTCTCACATAATTCCCTTGTCCATTATATTAGGGAATTAGTCATCCAAATTAAAAGAATCCCTCAATGTATCTATTAAGCTCTCTCCAAAACCTTGTCTTTTATAGCCTCAAAAATGAACTCTTGCCAATCAAATGAGATTGTTGGTTTGGTTAGTTGGTGATTGGTTAAATGAGGTCCATGATAAGTGATTTGGTAGAACAATTAATTCTGCTGGATACTTCATATGTAGTAGTTAAGATTAAATTAGCCCTTGACTATGCATGCTATAAGCTTAAGTAGTACAATTGTTTAAATTATTTAAATGTGTCTTTTGCATTCATTATTTAAGATTCCTATGTAGCAAGAATTTGACTGCAACAAAACTTAAAAATTATTTTTTTTACCCAATATATGTTAATCTAATGATTATAATATATACTCTTTAAAAGTCTTCTTCATAATTAAAATAGATTTTTTAGATGGAAAATGTTTCTTTTTCAACACCTTTGCTCAAGGTGTGTGCTTCGCGTATTGGTCAACCATATTATCTTGAGGGCATGTTGCACTTTTGACACCACTGCTAATGATGTGAAACATAATGCATGGAAACAAGAACTGCTTGGGGATTTTAATATAAGATTGTTAAAGCTTTGCTAGTTATAAAATTAATGCTTCCCCAAAATAAGTTTTCGGAATTATCAAGTCGAAATTAAGTAAAGCATGCGGTTATAACTAGATTAACGGGACAATATCAAATTGACAACATAGAATTAGAGAGTAACGTTATGGGGAGAAACAATAATCCACAATTAACAAATAGAACTTTTCACCTTGGGTCTCTCACTCACTCTCTTGTTGGTGGCACTTT